GTGGGCCGACAATGGCAGCGGCGCGAAGCAGGACGGCTCCATCTGGCGGCCCGTCGCCCCCGCCGGCTACGTGGCCGTCGGCGACGTCGCCGCGTCGGGCTACAACAAGCCCGACCTGACCCAGGTCTGGTGCCTCCGCGCCGACCTGGCGCTCGCCGGCGGCTTTTGGGCCGGGAGCGTCTGGGATGACAGGGGCTCGGGCGCCGACATGGACGGCTCCTTCTGGGAGGTGCTGGCTAGCGTGCCGGCCCGCACCGCCGACGCCATCCCCGCCCTCGCGGGCACATTTGTCAGCAACCAGGGCTACGGACAGCCCGCCGCCACCATCGCCCGTGTGCCTGGACTGTCCCTGTTGAGCTGAGCGGCGTTTGTTTGAGACGGCAGTGGATGACGCGGGGGGGAAGGAGAAGGGGGGGTTCAATTCATCAACCGGTCGCTTCGTGGGTTAGATAGTAACTGCGGGGAGCAGGGTGAGAAGCAAGGCGGGATAAAAGGCCTAATAGGAGTTTAGGTAGCTATACGTAATAAAAACGTCTTGGCCGAGCCAAAAGGTATGCCCGCTTCCGACTTTAATTATGACATGCGCTATCTTGAGGAATGAATGACGACACAACAATACCACCACCGTACATGCAAGCCTCAGATGCACCTGTTAGTGGCGATTCCAGTGTGGTCCTTTCAGCGAGCAAGATTGTACTGGCTGCAACTGCTTTCGGGGTCCGAGTCCTGTCGTACGGGGCGCTGGTAAGGTATACCGGCAGCGAGCTGGTGGTCTTCTGAAGAAAGGTGGAGTAAATCACGGGACCAGCCATGACGACGCTGCCAGGAATCGCGCAGCCCAACATTTTTGAAGTGTATGACCAGTCGCTCGCAAGCAATCTCCATAACGCCAACTCCAAGAGCCGCATACGATGTGAGTTCCCCCCATCCTCACAAGCACCCGTCGCAAGGTGGCCGCTTGATAGAGGAAGAGAACGAAGGAAGCAGAGTCTCGCCATGTTGAAGACGAAAAATGCAGGCTCGTGTTGTGTCATCAGTTTCATTGCTGAGGGAACGTTCTGATACCGAAAAATGGCCGTAACTTAGATGGATGTTCATGCCAAAAACGCTGGCAACAAATGCAATCGGGATGAAAAAGAGAAGCCAAGGTTGCCAGGTCTCGTCACTCCCTCTGCCTGCTCCATGGCTCTTTCGCTCTCCAGGATGCTCATGGCCGACATGAAGGCCTAGCAGGTCACCTCCGCTCTGTACATCGTCGCTTCGAGTCTCCTCTCCATGGTTTCGAGCGCTTTCGGTTGCTTCGCGTGGTTGGATGTCGAGGGCGATTGTGAGTCGAGGCGATTTGGATGTGCAGAGAGCAGAACACCTGAACAAGGTAATTAGCTTGACGAACACGGAGCATGTATCCCGAGTGCGTGAATAGGACCTTGTACTTACAGACCAGTCTGCCATCAATCGAATCGTTATACGCAGAGATGCACTCATGGGCGGCGTGAAGCATCATCCATTTTGGTACAGTTTTGGTTGTGCTATCGCCCATGTCCGTTGCCGCTTCAATTCTCCCGGTGTTTCTCTCCCGCTCTAGGTCTGCTTCAGCCCTGCGTATTGGGGTTTGTGGTGGTCCCGTTTCCCGCCCGCTGACAGGTGTTGAGTCTCCTTGGGTAGCGGGCTGCCCTCTTCTTATATAGAATCATCACAAACATCAGTACTAATACACTTTCTGAGCTAGCCTATTGTGCACTGGTATATGTTATATATTAGTATATTCTAAGCTAGGATATTATGCACTAGTATGCTACATACTATCCCACAACGTGTACCAGCATATGCCAGAAATGTGGACACTGCAGGGGACATCGAAAGGAAAATTTATCCGGGGGTACTGAAAACGGGCCTCTGAGGCTGTGCAGCGGCGGCGTATGGGATCACCCTAGCTCAGGGAAAGTTCGTCTCAGATAACCAGGCTGTAAGTGGTATGAAAATCTTCCATCATGTTGAAGGCGTGCCCAAGTGCCAACCTTCAAAAGACGGAAAGAAAAATATGTCAACATTCACCCCTTATACCACGCCAAACCCGACAGTATCCATCCCAGAAGCTGAAAAAGCGCAAACCACGAGCCCGCCATCGACACGAGTTGCTGCACCACGGTCAACATCTCAACTCGACAACATGTTCGCTTGTTCAAAAGCTCACCTGCCAATCCAACGCCACGGACTGCGTCGATATTGTTCTCTCAAACGTGGGGAACTGCAGATACAAGCTTGCAAAGCACGGTGAAGACACATCGCACTGGGTCGTCGTCGCCGGAATCGTCGAGAACGAGAGATGATAGTCATAAGCGGGTGAATGACCAAGTGCCTCACGTCTGTTGAGTCCGATATTGATGTTGGTCAATCCGTTGGCATTGATAAGTCTCATCTGGGCGTATCCCGTTTGCAACGCCTCCTCTATTGCAAGGGTAGGGTCGTAGATGGCGATCCAGAAACTTGGTGACAGGATGTGAGAGGAGTCATCGAGAGCTTTCTGGCGGTCATCTGCTCAAACGTTTGTGTCAGGGCTAAGACTCGGAATAACGAAGGGCACCGTTGGTTACTAACAGGTGAAAAACGCTTGCGCAATCATCAGCGAAGTCGGTCGTAGAGATACCATTGGCTGTGAGGACATCAACGTCAGGGCGCGGTAGCTCGTATTCTGCCACTCAAAATCCACCACATCTTCAGCCCACCTGTTGTGACACTGACAATCCAATCCAAGAGAAACGGTGCCGCACTCCGGGGCGGTTTCGTTGAACGGACCGATGAAGCATTTCGGTCGAGCCGAAACGTCCAGGACAGCTTGTGACGTCCAGTCTTTCTGCTGAAACAGAGTGATTGAAGGATAGTATGCTCTTTGCTACTCAAGGACACCTGTCAGATAGGAGTTCGACGTTCGTCATAAAGAAGCTTTCGAGAAAGAAGAAACCTACCACGGTATCGCGGTCGAGCGTTATCACATTCCGATTCCGGTCATTATACCAGAAGCTCCAATACAATGCTGGCAACACAGCGGTTGCAATTATCAGTGTGATGACGGTATTCCCGAGGTTGCGGTTGTACTCTGTTTGGGCTTGCAGGCCAGTCCCGACCCCAGCCATTTTTCGATGGTAAGGCCGATGCACTACCGAAAATGCAATGACCAAGAGAACGACGATAATCCAGATCGCTGAAAGGACGACAAATATTATCCGCGTTGAAATCGCTGCTGAAGCAACCAGTACTGCAGCAGCTATCAGCCAACCCAGCCAGCTGAGAACAAAGACAAGGACCAAACGGCTGGATGAAGGCGCGGTCATTTCGAACAACCAACATCAGGATTGAAGCCATTGGTAATACAGAGTAGAAGATTCTGAGCGTGGTAAAACGGAACCCGGGGAAGACGATCGGCCTAATATTAGAAAGTAGCCTGACCTGGTCAGAAAATCTGAGACCTTCGGCAAGACACGAGTGGTCCTTATTGCCGCCCACGCCCCGCCATAGCAAACAAATAACATAAAAGTTGATCTCAGCTTGACCGGATTAGGTAAAAACTAAAGTGCGGCGAGGAAAGAGGGGGGAAGCGCAATCAGCCACCGAAGCCGCAAACTGAGTTCTCAACAATTTACACGTCAGTTCAATAGCCTAAGCGCTCTCCCCTGGATGAATCATGTTGATTCTTTCTTTTCGAGGCCGCGTAATGATCCCTGCCCTTTTTTGCTCAACACGAAATGGCGCAGAGTCATGAACGCCTTCCGAGGGCCTGAGACCTCAGCCGTCGCGAATTTATACGCATCGTGGTTGAAACATGCGAGTTGTGTCTCAATGAGGGCCAAATTTGTTGTTTCGTTCCCATGTTTGACTGTGCATAAACAGATAAAGACAAAAACAGATCCGAGGCGCGCCCAAGAGGATGGCGGTCAGAAGGTTATCGGTCCAAGCCGCGCGCCTAGATCCAATGTCGGCGAGCAGGCAACGAGGGAGGGCCATAACTTGACCCATAAGAAAAGAGTCAAAGTCCTTCCTGCCTGTCCTGCCAGAAATCCCTTGCCATTGCGTGAGAGCAAGTCGCCAACCATGCACACCGCACTGACGATCCTCATCTTTTTTCTTCCCTTTGGCGTTCACTCGCAAAAGATCTTCATCAACCAACTTCCAGAATATTCTCAACTGCCATCATGCGCCGAGCCTCCCCTAAGCACCATCGTGCGTAACATGGCCTCTGGGTGCGGGGATGGCGGGAAGACGACCTCGTACGCCTGCTTTTGTGCCTCGAGCTCGGCCGAGTTTGAAAGCATTATAAGCAAAGCTGTGGCCTCCAAATGTGCGCCGGCATTTCCGGACGCAACTGCATCCGCTCTGTCAGTCTTTGACAGATATTGTCATATTTCCTCTTTGCCTCAAGGTGTGCGTCCCTTTTCGCTCAAGTGTTGCACCGATGACTGACTGCAGTAGGCGCTCAGCGGACAGCTGTCGCGACTGGCGCCACTACCGGTATATCAGCCGAGCCAACAGCGAATGGCTCAACGGCCTCGGTCAGGGTCTCGCCTACCCCGACTCGGACACAGCTGGCCCCCATTCCCTCGGAGAGTAAAGCGACATCACTTGGGCTACAGCCGAGAGGTGTATGGGCGGCATGGCTTTTGACTTTCGGTTGCGCTCTCTTGTCTATTCTTGAATGATCGCAGTTGTCGTGGCTGTTTTTAAAACGGATGTGTGCCAGTTTGTCTGATGTTTATGTCGAGGTAGTGCTCGTGGGGATGCCCACTCGGGTTTCTCAAGTGTGGGTTCTATGAGGTGGTTTTGGCGTTAGACTCTGATAGTGGGAAGCGGCGTCAAAAACCAGATTCTGTAGCATACCTCAATGAATAGTTGTTTTGGTTTTTTTGGTGCACCTTTGATGTTTGAAGTGACATCACCATCTCCTCACCACTTGCTACCGGTCATGATAAATCCATCCAACGCATAACATCTCCACACAACAACATGGCAAGGTGGCCGAGTGGTCTAAGGCGCCAGGTTCAGGTCTACCTGAATTCACTTGAACATCAGTTCAATTTCCTGGTCTCGAAAGGGGCGCGAGTTCGAATCTCGCCCTTGTCAGTGCATCTTCTTTTTCCAGACCCGTCCCAGACGTATTTCTTTTCGTCTCCTAGTAGATCACTGTTCGCACAATCGGGTCTAAAAGCAATGTCGGGATTCTTTTTGTTGGGTGCTTCGTAGTGGAAAAACGGTCCGCTGACCTCGGAAGATTTTGTTGAGCCTTGTGACCTTGTCTGATGTAGCACTAGGTCCTATTAGCTGCCGTTACAAGGTTTATAAAAAGAAAGGAAAATATTACAAACGCACCCTGGGAACTAGTGCCTAAAGGCGCACTCTGTTGTTGTCCGCTTGCACACCGGCCGAGCCACGCTGATGGCTGGAGATGAAGATGAAGAATAGAAGTCCAAGTCCGAATGACGCCAATCGTGACTAAACAGGGTGTCTCGAGATGTGTGATTTAACGCGTCGAAGTATTGCATCCTTAAAATCTGCCGTCACAGCACCGTATCGGCTGAGCAACCGTGGGCACGGCATCGAGCACCTGATGAAAGGTCAGCTAAACTGAACTTCAAGATGAAGAAAATCGTCTCTGGGAAAGGGACGCCAGGCGCAGACACCGGTCAAGTTGCGCCTGCCATTTTCGTGTGCAGCTCAAAACGGGTCGCAATTTAAAAAGTTTGATGAATTTCTGGTTCCAAACCTTCTCTCGCTTTCCATCCGAAGCTTACATTGGAAAATGGAATATCGAGCCACATACCCGCATGTCATTTTTTTATTCCAGGCGCTCTTTCATTCCTGGACTGCCATCCCGAGTGTCTGGATCGCATAATGCTCCTGGATAGGAAGATCGGCCGCTTTGAAACAACCTGGAAGGCCCCCGCCCCCTTCAGCGCCTATCACTGTCAAACTCACCGCCTGCAAATGGCACGCCGAAAATGACGGAGACTCTATCCGTGTCTTCAAGCCTAACCAGCGGCACAGCTGACGCCCCAATCGGTTTCTTTTTTCCGTGGTTGTTGCTGACTTGCCTGTATCTGCAAAGACCGAGACAGCCCTCTGGGTTTTGATCGAGTAACTGGTGCCGGCAGAGCCAACCTAGCACGTATTGGGGCTCCCTTGCCTCCCACTGATGTGACCGGTCATTTACTTTCTTTTGCACGATGGATTTGCGCGGGATGCTGCATCCAGCTGAAGACATCGAGATGAGAAGAAGCATGGAGGAAAGGAAGATCGTCTTATATTTAACCTGATACCCCACCCTCTCTAATACAAGACGCGTTTTCGAATCTCTCAACAAGACCGAAGTTGAAGATTTGGTGTATAACCATGGGTCAGTGCTCCCACGAGAGTGTGTTCCATGTTGCACAAAGTAAAAATGCCTTCGCTGACAGTTCACAGACTTCCAGGGGATCGGTAGCTGGGCTCCGCCACAACTGACCGAAGCCCTCCCAATCATTGAGAATCGTGAGTCTGCAGAGCCCAGCCAAGATAAAGGGTTTCCTTGTCTAATATTTGACCAGCCACACCTGATGCAGAAAATCTGCTGCCCGGCAGGGCAGTTTTGAAGCGGGAACTCGGTGTTGATTGCGAGGACATCACCTCGTTTCTCAGTTGTCACAATGGTCACCAGCCAGATTCTTGGTCAAATTGCAACCTGCGCACCACGGCCCCGGTAATTCCAATTTACAACGGCTCTGATAATATATTCCAAACCCGCAGGTCTCGGCCGGATGCCGAGAGAAGAAGAAGGGCCTCCTCTCCGCGCCGCAACTTCGCCGACGCAGCGATGCTTGGCAACCACCAGCCAGGCAACAGTCGCCATGAACTTGAAGCTCAGGCTCGACCTCAACATCGAGTCAAGTTAATTATTCTTGCGGTGGTCTCCCCCTTCTTTATCTACTTTTCCTTCTCGTTCAAATCATTTGGGCGGGTGGGTGGTGGATCCTTGGCTGCCTGGGGGCTAGGCAACCATTCCGCACTTTAATGAGTGCGTGCGTGCGTGCACAAGTCACAGCGGAAAGCACATAGCTCTTCTGTGAATCTCTTCAAATCGCTAGTTCTTGGCAGGTGTGGAACAATTGGGTTTGAAATGGATGGGGCCAGATTAAAAATCGGCGTTGTTACGGCGTAGTTCAATGAAACGTCATTTTCCTTTTCAGCATTCCGTGAATTGCATTCATGATTTATGGAGGTGTGATTAACAAAGCCGTGCACTGTCCGTGATGCAAATCTCGAGACTGCCTCGCACACCTGAGCGCTTGGTGCGACTCTGTTGGGCGGGCCTTCGGGTTCGCGGCCGCCCCCTGAGTGTTACCGTGTGAACACATGTTCACATATTTTCCTATTTGCTTTCTATTGACTGCGTGATTGCTCGTCATTACTGCTGGCTGGCACAAAGCGATACCTTTGGCCAGAAAATCGGAAGGGCCAAGCTGGTCTGGCAAAAGCGGTCACCATCAGCGCCCAGATGCCCCCCTCTTCTCAGGAGTTGTGGGGGTTATTGTAGCACCACCTTCTCAGTTGGGTGACTGGAAGGAGAATCAGCCTGGGGGGGGAAAAATTCAAAATCCAGCTGCAGCTGCATCAGAGGTACCAAAAGGTACATGCAAGGCCATCTTCCCGACTCCCCGGTGTGGGCTAGGTACGGGAAACCTGCCCGAAAGCAAATAGGAATGGGCACCTCATGGTGTGTGAGGAGCCTGGGACATCTAGAGATGGGCTGTTGGCTTGGAGGAGATGAGACTCCGCGTTGACTCTGGCTTTCCTGAACCTGGAATGACCTCCACGATGCGGTGTGGCGACTGGGTGCTTCGATGCGCTTAGCCAGCACACACCCCCATCATCCCGGTTCCCCAGGACACTCATCCTCTCTTACAGCCCCCTATTCGCTCTTTTCAACCTCACTTTTCATCAAAATTCTACAAAAAGGAATGAACAAGCAGTTCCTAGCAGTGGCATCGTCTTCAGGTTGTGCCTATCCGATGACCATTGGCATGTTTTGGTGGCATTTTTTGATCTTGGTCTTTCTTCCCCCCTCGAGAGTTGGTGGCAGTGCAGGGGTGTGAAGTGCTGCTGTACCTACTCAACCAGTAAGATGAGTGACTCCAGCCCTCCAGCTGTCCCCCTTCTGCATTCAATCCTTTCATCCTTGGCTTGCTGTCTCGTTTGCCGTCTCGTCTCATCATATTTTCCTGGGCTTGACGATCTTCCATCATTCAGATAGCCACGGACTTTTTCTCCTGTCCTTTTGTTGGATCTAGAAACCCGAAGCTCCTCCTCTCTCCTTCCACTCCCTCCTCCCGCAGCCTCGTCATTGATCAAACAATGACAGAACAGTACAAACACTCACAATCCGGATAGCCACCGACACGCTACTGAGCATGTCTTTTATCTTACAACCCTCGTCTCCCTTTTGACTTCTGAGACTCGGATGCCTCATCGTCAGCAGATACCGATCCCCCGGTCCGTTTGCGAAGACACTGCTGCCATGTCCCGACACACACTCGTCCACCTGCCGATATCCATCCCCGACGCGCCGGTATCAAATCGAAACAAACATTGATTCTTCATCTAGAGTCACGAGATTATGCCCCCCAACAAGCATCTATCCGCTCAATATTCATAATCCATTCCGTCTCTCAAACGCGCAGCCAGACGAATAATCCGACACACCTTCGTTTCCCATCCTCGTCCTCTCCATCCTCTACCCTCGTCCGTTCGTCTTCATCGGTCTCCTTCTCCCCGTATCCATCTCCATCTCCGCGACCGCGACCGCGTCCTCGACCTTATTCTCGATCCCCCCTTCCCATCGTTCCTACTCCAAGCCTCTCGTCGCCATCGAGAAGAAGAAGAAGAATAATAATAATAAAAAAAAGACACGATTTCAATACTGGAGCCTCGCAAGGTGTTTTAAAAAAAGAAAGAGACGGCCAACACATGAGGAAAAATATACCTCGCGATGAAAGATGACTCGGAAAAACACCGTCTTGCACACTACCACGCGTAGACACACTACCACGCGTAGTTCCAGCCCGATGAATCCACCCGCACACATCTACTGATTTGGAGTTTTTTCTCTTTCTGGCACAGCCTCAGAGACTCGGGATTGTTTTCGCGTCCCTCTCTGTCAAGATTTGACAAAATCAAAAGGCTCTCCATAGCACATTAAGTTGGTGAAAGGGGTTTCCGCCCACATGGTTCGCGTTGAATTTTCGAGGTTTTTATTTCTTATTTTTCTGTGTTCTCGCGTACGTCTTGATCGTTTTTCACACCTCTCCAATTACCCATCCCCGTTTTGTGGCCTAATTAACTGGGTAATAGGTATGTATGTTCTCTTCATTCTTCTTTGTTGTGTCTTTTACCTACTACTAGTTACTACTCTTTCTTTGCGCTGCCCCGCCCGCAGCTACTGGCAACTTTCAACTTTCAGTTTTATGTGTGTTGAAATTTTGCAGACCCAGTTCCAAACCAGTGACCCCCCTGAGTCAGAGAGCGCGTTGCTACTATTCAATCTCCGAGGCAGATTAAATTACCATGTCGACGACGGCGACAGACATCCATTTCAAGATGAAATGTAAATAAATTGCTTCTGTCTTTTAAGCAGTAGACTCGACGCACCTCGGCTTCGACCCGAGACACACACACATTCATTCGGTGGAACTGGAACAGATCGATACTACCTACCTAGGCAACTGGCGTCAAGACGGCAGACACAAACTTAAAAGCCCCAAGCTCGGGATGGGTACGCTTAAGAGATGGCATCTCCTGCTCTGGCTCGTAAAGTTAGGAAAGCCCACGCTGGGTTACTATGGAGTTAGGTAGCTGGCGTGTGTGTGACACTAGGTAGATAATATTTTTTTTTTTTTTCGTTTCTTTCCTTTTACGACAAACTGGCTAGTGCTATTCCAAGGTCCCACTATCCCCACTTCCAAACAAGACAGCGCCAGTAGGAGCCTGAGTAGAGTACAGTTGAACTGGCCATGTATGTATGTATGTATGTACTGTACATGTACAGTAAAACTACCCAGTAGTCCAGTCTCACAGAACGAGACGAGAGGCTC